AAGTGAAAAGATCAAAAACATCAGAGTGACAGTCGAATAAACCTAATCGTAGATCGAATCACTATATGACCTGACACTAGATTTGTTGATAAAGTAGCATTTTTTACTTGCTAGACGGATATTCAACATTATATTTTAAAGCATCACTGTTTTTCACACCCACAATAATATGTACGAGGGTGTAGGTGTATATAGATTGGATATCCGTATTCACATCCACCCACACCCCATACCCAATCATATAAAACACTCTCGATTACAGATGATGGCAGCATCGTCGAAATGAAATGTAAGAAAATTAATATTTAAGAGATTCTGAATAAAAAGTATGAACACAAAGCCATAGAAAAACAAGAAGAGTTTAGACGTATTCTTGTTTATCTCCATCCACGCTAGTTTCTCACTTGATATCAACCTACTTCGGTGAGAATAAAAAAAGCATTAATCAACTATAGTAGGTTCTGAATTTTTTTTCACCATTGTTGTTAGCGATATGAACAGCAAGTTCATTTATATTATTGTAAAACGAGAGACGGAGATAATTTATTCATTGCTGACATCCTTATTGATATTAGTTTTTTGTTTCCTTTTTCTGTTGAAATTCTTTTCTCATATTATTACTGTTACTGTATAGTCATTGAAGTTTCCTCCTTGCTTTTCAAAGAATTCAATTTTCGTCAAGAAAATGAATACTCTCATAAATTCATGGGAAGATAGTTCCAGGTCTGTCCTTTGTAAACGACATCATGTTTTTATTCAGCATGTCAGTTCTCTAAAATTTTAGATAATTTTCGTCATTCTGTACTTGGAAAATATTCTTTTTGTTCGCAAGAGAATGTCAAGATGCAACATATGATTGAGTCCTTTTTCTTTTTGAACTAAGCATTGTTCTTATTATATAAAACAGTACTTTCATAATTAGACTGCCATTTTTTGTGAGCTTCTCGAGGCATTGAAATTTTCATAACGTTTCTTCACATAAAACAGTAAGAAAAAAGTGCTGTCATATTCTGCATTAAGTTATATTCGATCCTTGCTTGTAGAATACCTTCCGAAAACGTCATGGTATATGAGTGAAAGTTATTGCATAGCTTCCTTATCACAGTACCAACATAATTTGGAATTTTCATGCTGTTTGAATATATATCTGACCGAAGATCGGTTTTTAATGTGTAGGTCATAAGACACAAACATTTATGAGAAACTTCAAAAATTTCGCGGTACTTACGAAAACTTTTCATAAATACAAAGGTAAGTTAACCAGAAATTACGAATTTTTTTCCAAAATTACTAAAAACCTTCCGAGTGATTTATGAAATAATTTAGCCATTAGGAAGCTGTTTCTATTTTATTTTGATAATTGCTACTCTCCAAAAAGTCAATATGTAGCTATTTTCATAAAGGAAACAGAAACTGTAAATAAACACCCTGTACTCTAGATTATTATTAATTTGAGACATTGCTCAGGGAATTTCGAAAGTTTCTAATACTTGAAAAAGTAAGGCCTCCTTCTTAATGATAGAGTAGATTGATATGTTAATAGAATAAATATTAAGTAATTTCTCGAATTATTAATATTTTTGAAGGTAGATTCTTGTTCTCCGTATGAAAAAATATTGATATTCTTGTACAAGCATTATGGAGATAACTTATCTATCTAATGAAGTTTACCAGTAAGTACTGAAATTCCTGAATAGTATTCTTTTTTTTTCGATATTCAGATTTTGAAAATATTCAAAAATTTTCATTTTTTGGAGTGATTATTGTCGATATTATCTAGGAATTTCTCCATACTATCTTAAAAGTTTTCTTTTGCTATTGAAGTAATTACCGGGATTTCTTAGAAATTTCTTTCTGTTATCTTGATAACTTTATTAGATTTCTGGAAAACTGTAGTGTTTTCGAACAGACGGTATCTACTTCTTTATTGGGAAGTAGAGTAACTCCTGAACTTTCCTTCTGATTTGATTTTTACACTACTAGTAAAGAAAATATTCTTAGCTCATGAATAAAATAGTTTGAAAATGTCACCGTCGGACTTAATAATAATAAGAAACTTTTAAAATCACTTCTACATTTAATTTTAGTTGTCTTCATGGTCTAAATGAACGATACATATAAATTGCTTGGTTTACATCTCGTCTCATATTTACCTCAAGGTTTCATATTTTGTTACTTTGGTTTACTTTTTCACCTTCTAGGATAGCTAGGGGAAATTATACCGATGAAAGTGTTCCTATGATTCATATACTTTTATGAAATGACAAATCAACTAGTTTCTCATCTGTAGATTATCTTAATGAATCATTACAAATTAGTCAAAAATGTACCGTAAAACAAAAATGATAGTAAGACCATCATTACAATGAAACTTAGTCTTAATCATTCATGAATACATCATATACATTGACAATTTCCTCAACATATTCTCTGCTTTGGTCGTTGAAAGTGCAGAATTACACTGAAGTAACAAGATTGGAAACGTCAAGATAAATATGAGACGACATGTGAATAATTCCAAGAACGAATCGAGCGATCTATCAGAATCTTTCATTTACGTCATGAAGATAATCGAATTGACTCGTAGAAATGATGAACAAAATTCCTTTTTGCCTACTGAATCGTACGGTTACAGTTTGAAATTACTTTAGTAAAGATTTTGTTTCTTAATAGTGCACAAAGCAAGTCATTCGCGCAAAAGTACGCAGCGAAATATTCGACTCTTTTCAGAATAATGACTTTTGTATGCATATTTTTTTTTAGAGAATTTTTTCTTGAGAAATTTGCTTCTTTTCAACAACAACGGTATTACCTAATTGATTTTTTTTGACGGTAAATGTGATGTGAAGATAAAATGCCCAGGTACACGTCGTTCACGATAATTATTTGCTTTTGGATGCTTACAATGATACTCGTGTATTGCACTGTCGGTAACAGCTTTATTTTCTTTTTCGAGCATCGGTCATTACATCAGCATTTCTATGTGTTTGCGAGATGCTCCACTCATTGACGCTTATGGGTGAGGGTTGGTGTGGGTGTGAATGAAGAGTCTCTCCAAACTCACACCATACCCACACCCTGCAATCAGGGGTGCAGCAAGGATTTTCAGACCAATGGGCAAACTTCTCATATGTAAAAAAAAAAACTATGGGCAAAATGGGCAAAGTTTTTTTGAATGGGCCAAAGCTTTTTTGGTCCAAAAATGTATTGATAAGTAAAAAATCAAAAAATGAATTGTAGTTCTTTTAATAACATAAAAAATGAAATATGGTTCATTTAATCAAATATACATCGAACTCAAGTCTTTAACATTTATACTTCAAATTCAAGTACCAAAATCAAGACGACGATGAAGCATTTGTGTATAAAATTATCGGTAGCAATCGTTGAATTTAAATGAAATTGTGAATTCATATGACTTTTTAATGATGTAGTAAAATGTTTCAAATGCCTGTATCGATAACAAGGTTTATCAACAAATAATTCTAATTTTTGTCCTTGTACATTACGAAATAATACACAATTAATGCAATAACTACCTTCAATGTATGGTGAATAAACAATAAATGAATTATCGATTAACCAATTAATCAAGAATCGACGAGAATATTTATGATCATCCGAATATACCATTGGAAATGGATATTTTCTATCAGGTTTGAAATGATTTGTTAATAGCGAATATTTTAAATGATCACCAATTGGCAGTTTATTTGATAAATAATAACCGATATCATTTGTATTGGTGTCTGGTCGAGAATTAATGACTTCCAATTCATTACTTTCGATGATAACATTAACTTCATCACTGATCTGCTCTAAATCTGCAGGATCACTGGATAAAAGTAAACTCGAATTATCATTAGTTGTTGTTATGGCAACTGTAGCACTTGTAGTTGCAGGTGTAGTTGAATCTTGTGTTAAATTTTCTGTACCAGTACGTATTTTTTTGGAAGAAAAGTTGTAGTTAAATAAAGTACTGGGTCGCTTTTCATTCGACATAGCTTAGTATTTATATTTTTTTAAAGCAGAACAACAGAATGATAAGTGCACAATTGTATATATATACATGTTCTTTTTTTTCTATTATCTTTTCTTATAATACTCAGACGGAAGAAGATGAACTATAACCTATCTCGTCCAGTTTATTATCTTGTTTCTTCGTTCGTATCAGTATTATAAGAAAAGATGAACGAAAAAAAAAGAAAAGTAGAAGTATATATACATACAATTGTGCACTTGTCATGTTTGTTGTTCTGTTCTGTTTTGTTTTGTTTAATTTTTCACAGAAAGGACAAGCAAAGAGTGCATGCATGATTCAGACGGAAGAAAAAAAATACAGTTACTATCTAATTCAAAGAAAAAAAGCAATGCTGAAAATCTAAAATTTCAATGGGCAAACCTCCAAATGAAATGGGCAATTGCCCATTTGCCCCTCCCTTGGCTACGCCTCTGCCTGCAATAAAAGAAAGTTGTTTTTCTTAAATATAAGACTCTTAAGGAAATTCGTTTTGCTTTTGCGTGACTATCCATAAATTTCAAAAAAGTTATGAAGTCATAAGATTTCATTATAATTGAACTTGAATTTTTCGCTTACATGGAAGAGAAAAATCTCGATTTTTCATTGATTAACCTTGCCAATTAATGCACTCTGCATATATCAGATGAATGACAGTATTTTGGATCACCAACTCTTTTCAGTATTCATTTTACATTATTATTTTTCAATAAAGTCTAAGGGCTTCTATGAACTAACAATAGCCTATATTTACGGTGTGGTGTTCCCCACTCTCAGTTACGTTAATTGGTTAAGAATTAAATTATATTGTACACAACAGAAAATATACATATTACAATATTATTATAGGAAGCAAGATTTTCAAATAGAGAAGTACTTTTTCTAGAGATACATGCACCACACTCACTAATTGCCTTGATCATACATTAATCATGTTGGTATATAAAAATAAGGTGCTGAATGTGAATAAGGAAGTGTATGTATCACATGGAAACATTCAAGAAGAGATAATGAAAAGCAATCAAAACCCAAAAGCGACAACTGTTACCCAACAGACTTCGCTGATTTGTATTTAGAAAATTAAAAGAACAAAAAAATAGAAAAGAACGATAGCATTCAATTACTGTTATGAAGTTATAAAAAATTCAACATAAAGACAAATATTTCTCAATCGATTAAAAAACCATTTTCTGCTTGAAAAATATATCAAGATTGTGAAAATCAGATAACAAGATCCGGTGTTTTTTAACGTTTTAGCTTGTTCTGAGTTTGTTGTTCTTGTTAGGTACATGACTCATGATAAAGACAGAATCAATTATTCCCAAACTACCACTAATTACTCTTTTATTTTTCAAGATAATCCTTGCCATTCAAAAGAGACAAACAACCGTTTGTAGACCGTTTGTTATAATGTACGGTCTACCACCAAGCAACTGGAGATAGTCTGATGTTGAAACAGTTCGCAATCCTCTGACCGTCATTCTACTACGAGAGAATGCCAACAGTTGTTCTGTGATTGGAACTTTGCTAGCAGTTATGCAAATAAACGTACAACATGGAAATCGAATGATTTTTTTGTCTCATACGAATAGACGAATTGGTTTATATTTAGTAATGTTAATAAATCTATAAGCTTATTCAAGGTTTTGTCGGCGGTAAAAGAAATTCTTTGTTGTCTTAAAGAATCAGATGCGAAATTAAGCAGGGTGTGGGTGTGGATGTGGGAGGGTGTGGAGGTCGGTGGATGTGGGTGGGTGTGGGTTGGTGTGGGTGAGTGTGAGTGGGCGTGGCTGGGTGTGGAGTGTGGCTGTGAGCGTGGGTGTGGTGGGTATGGGTGTGGGTGTCGGTATAGAATAAAAATCAAATCCCACCCACACCCACACTCACACCCACACCCACACCCACCCACACCCACACCCACACCCACACTCACACCCACACCCTCCCTAATTTCCCACCTGATTCTTTAAAACAACAAACAAT